ATATATATATATATATATGCTGAGAAAAGAGTTATGTCGAAGATTTGGAGTATTACAATATTTTGCTGTGTAGAATGAGTATTTCGGTTGGAGATGGCCTCACCGTTATTTGGGGAAAAGTTATTACGTTCGGACAAAAAAATCGAAAATTCGAACGTACACCGAACAATACCTGAGTGCTCGGTACTAAACTCCAGATGACTTTATTGGGCGTTTGGTATCAGGGAGAAATTATTAGGTACGGAGTGCGGACGGGAGAACCGTCTGCACACTAGTATAAAACAGTGTTCGGTACCGCTGGGTACCGCTCGGTACTCTGTGTCTGTGCAGACAGTTCTCACCCAGTCTGCACTCCGCACCTAATAATTTTTCGGTATTATCAGGACACAATAATTACTCTTATTTGGGTCGTTGTTGATATAAGAAACCCTAGTCTATTGAGACGTTTTTGGCGGGACGGACGAAAGGTGAAGAAACGAAAATGCAGATACCCGAGGACGGAGCGGCTTCGGCGGCGGAGGAGTTCAGAGTGTGGAAGAAGAACAGTCCATTACTCTACGATCTCGTCATTTCTCACGCCCTCGAGTGGCCGTCGCTCACAGTCCAATGGCTTCCCTCTGCATCATCCTCCCATTCCTGGTCCTCCGCTCGCCTCATTCTGGGCACTCACACATCCGACGACACGCCTAACTTCTTGATGATCTCCGCTGTTCAGCTCCCATCTCCTACCCATATTGCTGGTGAGCCGCTGCTGAACTCGCCACTGCCGCCGGTACCCAACATACGGATCGAACAGAGGATCAGTCACGAGGGGGAGGTAAACCGAGCGAGGCACATGCCGCAGAAGCCTTCGCTGATTGCGACCAAGTCATGTGGACCGGAGGTGCACGTGTTTGACTCCGGAAAGCGGCCGACGATCCCGCCGAATGGGGAGCCATGCAGACCCGACTTCGTTTTGAGGGGGCATTTGACGGAAGGTTATGGCCTAGCTTGGAGCTCGATGAAGGAAGGATACCTTTTGAGCGGCTCATACGATTCTAAGATTTGCCTGTGGGATGTGGGCAGTGTTACAAATGAGAAGGTTCTTGATGCCAAGGAGGTCTTTGAGGTAGTTATTCAGAAAACTTGCACACCTTTCCTTAAGCGTATTTTTCAGCTGGGACATGCAACGCTGGGTATCAAATTTGAAGGTTTTGTTTTATCCATATTTGCAGGCTCATGAGGCTGCAGTTGAAGATGTTGACTGGCACTTTGATAATGAGAATTTGTTTGGTTCTGTGGGCGATGATCATCGTTTGATGTTGTGGGACTTGCGTTCATCAAGAAAACCTGAGCATTCAGTTTTAGCTCACGGAGATGAGGTTAAGCAATATACCATTTTTGCAAGAATTTTTTTTTCCCGCTTTGTTTTTGACGTAGATTAGGGTAGCGAGAAAAAGAATTCATATTTAAAGAGATAGAAACCTTAAGAAATGAGGAGAGAAGACGATTAAATTTCATGGGAGAGAACAGATTTGGAAAATATCTCTGTTCATTCCTTTCAATATAATCAATCACACATATTGAACCCTATTTATAGAAATATATTACAAAATAAGAGCAAAAGATAAAAACTAACGTTTAAATTGAAATCTAAACTTATCTAATCCAAATCCAATCATAATAATTCAATTCAAGCCTGAAAGTACAGTGCAATGAACAAGAGGAAGAAGCTTAAGAACTCAAAGATTTGGAGCATGGGTGTTGGGTTGGGTTGCTCCAAGCTTCACACACATGCAAAATCTTTGCAATGTGGAGGTGATTTGGTGGTGTGACACAGCAAATTCAATCTCTATTAGGCGTGGTTGAGGTAAACTATGATCATTTGAAATTGCATGTCTCTTAAGATAAAGAAAATTGAAATGGTGTAGGATCTTTACTTGAATCTACACGGAACATTTTCTCTCACTGAATTACATTCTCAATCTCAAGCACTTGATCATATGTATACTTTGGCTTAACCTTGGATAATATCTCAACCTCAGACATACTAGTAAACTCAAGCATTAACAATTCATAATTATTCTTAAGGTCCAGCTCATAATCAAAAAGATGTTTTTCATAAAAAAAATCTCCATAAGGACCATTATAATAATAGGAGGTAGCAATTGGATTTGACACTATTATTTTTTTCATAATCAATTTGGATTCATGCCGGGTAGGTCGACTATGGAAGCCATACATTTATGAAGAGGTTTGATGGAGAAATATAGAGAAAATAAGGAGGATCTACATATGATATTTATTGATTTAGAAAAAGCATATGATAAAGTTCCAAGAGAAGTGCTATGGAGAGTTCTTGAAAAGAAAGGAGTCAATAATGCTTATATTCAAATCATTAAAAATATGTATGCAGGAGCTATTACTTATGTTCAAACACAAGGTGGATTGACCAAGTATTTCCCTATTTCGGTTGGGTTACATCAAGGATCAGCCTTAAGCCCATATCTTTTTGCTTTAGTCATGGATGTTCTCACTAGACATTTGCAAGAGGATGTACCTTGGTGTATGCTTTTTGCTGATGATATTCTTCTTGTTGATAAGACTAGAGAGGGAGTTGAAGGTAAACTTGAATTATGGAGGTAAACCTTAGAGTCTAAAGGTTTTCGCTTGAGTAGATCTAAAACGGAATATATGGAGTGTAATTTTAGTAGTAATAGACCTAGTGAGGGGATTGTGACTTTGGGCGATCAAGTCATTAATAAGAGTACACGTTTTAGATATCTTGGATCTATTGTTCAGAGTGATGGTGAAATAGATGGGGATATTATCAGCAGAATTCAAGTTGGATGGTTGAAGTGGAGGAATGCATCGGGCTTGTTATGTGATAGAAATGTACCCCTCAAACTTAAGGGAAAATTCTATAAGATGGTAGTGAGGCCTGCAATGCTTTATGGTGCCGAATGTTGGCTTTTAAAAGAGAAGCATAATACTAAGTTAAGTGTGGCAGAGATGAGGATGCTCAAGTGGATGAGTGGCTTTACCCTTAGAGATAGGATACGAAATGAGCATATACATGAAAAGGTTGGAGTAGCTCCAGTAGAAGATAAGATTAGAGAAAGTCACCTTAGATGGTTTGGTCACATAAAACGGCGGCCTTGTGATGACCCGATTAGGAGAGTAGAGGTATTAGATTTGACTTATGTTAAGAAAGGTAGGGGTAGACCTAAAAAGACTTGGTTAGAAAATATTAGGAATGACCTTTCTTTATTAGATTTAAACGAGAATTTGACTTTTAATAGGACACAATAGAGAAAAAGGATTCATATAGCCGACCCACGTAGTGGGATAAAGGCTTGATGTTGTTGTTGTTGTTGTTGTTGTCTTGGTGATTCAGAGTGTAATTTTAGTAGCAATAGACCTAGTGAGGGGATTGTGACTTTGGGCGATCAAGTCATTAATAAGAGTACACGTTTTAGATATATTGGATCTATTGTTCAGAGTGATGGTGAAATAGATGGCGATATTATCAGCAGAGTTCAAGTTGGATGGTTGAACTGGAGGAATGCATCGGGCTTGTTGTGCGATAGCAAAGTCTCCCTCAAACTTAAGGAAAAATTCTATAAATGGTGGTGAGACCTGCAATGCTTTATGGTGCTGAATGTTAGCCATTAAAAGAGAAGCATAATACTATGTTAAGTGTTGCAGAGTTGGGAATGCTTAGGTTGATGAGTGGCTTTAGTATTAGAGATAGGATATGAAATGAGCATATACATGAAAAGGTTGGAGTAGCTCCAGTGGAAGATAAGATTAGAGAGAGTCGCCTTAGATGGTTTGGTCACATTAAACGAAGGCCTTCCGATGACCCGATTAGGAAAGTTGAGGTTTTAGATTTGTCTTATGATAAGAAAGGTATAGGTAGACCTAAAAAGACTTGGTTAGAAAATATTAGAAATGATATTTCTTTATTAGATTTAAATGAGAATTTGACTTTTAACGGATGGCGAAAAAGTGTTCAGGTAGCCGACCCCATGTAGTGGGACAAAGGCTTGATGTTGTTGTTGTTGTTGTCGTCGTCTTGGTGATTTGGCAGTTTGGGCAGTGACTAAGTAGAAGATAGGAAGATGGGACAAAGTTGTAATGTATTGAACACTTCTTGATTCATCAAATGATTTTCAAATTTAACCAAGGATTTCATAAGATTTGTCATCATATGTATATTGGTAATAAGAATGATGGTTATGATTGAAAGGAGAATATTGACAACAACAAATACTCTTCACGAGGTGCATGATAATGTTGAACTTCATTATATTGTCTTTTTTCATAATGTGATAATGCTCTTTGTATATGATAATACGATTCCACTGTAATTTGATTGGTGAAACTTTTCTTGAAAATGAATTTTGTGCTAGGAGCTTCTTGATTTACCTTTTTGGGTACCAATTATAGACGACTGCCTCATAACGTGAAGAATAGTGGTTTGGGATGGCCGACAACTAAATTTCTAATTGAGGATTGGATCTAGAGGGAATGTTTGGTTAAAATGTGAATGTTGATTGTCAAAAAAGCCTTCAATATGTAATTGAGGATTGAAGGTGTTTATGGTGATCAGTAGTTAATAGTGAGTTGTCGAGTGGTGTTCCTGAGGAGAGTAGCAGGGGAGGGCTTGCAGTTGTGTCAGATAGAAACCTCTTTAATATCACAACACAAGGAGAATAAGATGTGTAGTTGGCAAGAATCCCATTGAATTCATTCTCAGAGTTCATGTGTTGGTTGTGGAATAATGATATTAATCAAGTAAGTGCATGAACGAGATGTTGCTTAAATACTAATTTCTTGCAAGGAATACGTGACATGTACTAAAATAGAGGGTTTTGAGAATTGGAGGAGATTCATCCTTTGGGATTTTGTGGATGTGGGAGCGGAAGATGTGAGCAGCCTAGTAGGTTTGTTCATAGAGAGGGATATGGGACTTCTTGTTCATGCGGGTAGCATGTGGTGATAAGTTTTGTGGATGGTAAGGGCGGTATGCTATTAGCAAGATGAAATTTGATTGCAATAGATAAGTAATAGTGTGTAATTTGCAAGTGGAGTAGATGTGTGGTATGTATTAATGCATGTCACAGCTAGGATTGACATAATTCAAAAGCTAATTATGGGATATTCACTCTGATACTAAATGGATGGAGGAAAAAGATGGAACTCTGCATGTGCAAGTTGGAGTGATTCAAATTTACAACTTGGATAAAAAAATATCACTTGATCGGCCTCACAAATTAGTTGTCATATATAAAAATCTGTTCAATTAGAAGCCACCTATGATGCACGGACACGGACACGGACACGGCGACACGGACACGACACAACACGGGACACGGCTTTTTTTGAAAATATAGGACACGGGTACGGCGCGGACACGGCAATACATTTTTTTATATAGTGTATATATATTAATGTAATATCATATTAGAAATGACAAACAATAATAAATGAATGACATGATAATTTGTCTAGCTTATAATATAAAATATTTAGTACAATCACAAAAATATAATCAAATAATCACTTACTACAACATCAAGTATTCAAGCTTCAACTACTAGGATTAGCTTTAGAGGTTTGTTTTTGGCCTTCAATATCATCATCAATGAATATCACTACTTTCAACTCTAGTTCAACAAGAGAAAGATTTGTAATTGTGCAAAAAAGAGAGGAGATGAAAATACCTTCACTGCCAAAGAGAAATGAAAATGAGAATATTCGATGAATGGGTATTAAATGCAAACATTGATTTGATGTTGTGGATATGAAATAAGAAATTTAGTTTAAATCTCGCAAAATAGAAGAAATTATATTTTAAAAAAATTATAAAATATTTAAGATACGCGTGTCCAATTTGTTTTTAATATTTTTTTAATCGGAGACATTTTCGGCGTGTCCGACACATGTCGGAGGAGTGTCGGACGAGTGTCGTGTCAGACACAGTGTCGGACACTGCACTCCTCTTTGAGGAGAAGTGTCGGTGCATCATAGGAAGCCACCAATCACTGTTTATAAAAATAGTGTTATAATCAAATTTAGTCCTAACAAAACCTTTAAATTCAAACCTATTAATATCCAAAGAAGATAATTCAATCTAATAAAATAAATATAATAAATAAGTTAGAAATCCAGCCATATTCATGGTTCCAAAAGCTTTGGAAATTTGTTTTGTTCAATCCATTTATTGCGTGATTTGACTTTATTTGATTGTTCCAAGAAATTTTGTTTTTTGGCTATTTTACGTGATTTGTACCGCATCTGTTTCATTATATGCTTCTTGATATTTTAATTTATGGGCATTGATCACATATTTCATAGTCATTGAACCACGATTATG